TTATCTATCACTATCATTATCGACAATCCATCTATATCAACGAAGTTCTTTAAAATTCTATGAAGTTTCCTGAACTTCTACGAAAGCTTCTGTACTTCCACAAGGTTTCTTGAACTTGAACTCAGTTCCATGAACTTCTATGATTTTTCCAGTGGCGTCCCGTAGCCTCACTTTTTACCTGTGCACCAACTTTCAAAACCAGAGTCACACTCGAATCGGTTGAAAAATACATCGCAAGCAATATTTTGATAATTGTTTATGCTTTGAGAGTTAGTGCACAAGTAGATTGGGGTTAAGGAAACGCCACTGGATTTTTCCATAGCTTATACAAACTTTCCTAAACATCTACGAAGTTCACTTAAGTTCTAACCAAGTTTGCTACATTTATCCAAATGTCCTGAAATTCATACAATGTTCGGTTAAATACCTAAACTTTTAGAAAATGTTCAACTTCTTGGAAGTTTCCTGAACTTGTTCCAAGTTCATTAAGTTTCAATTCTACCAAGATCTCAGCATATCTGTGAACTTCTCCGAACTTCTGAGAAGACTTTGAAAGGTTTCTGCGAATCTCAGAGTTGGGAAGAAATGGAGCAAAAATACTATTATCAACATGTTCTAGCTTCTTGGATATTGCTCCATGTCCGGAATATTGAATTTAAAACAAAACTCCCTGAATCTTGATGATTTTTCTAAATTCACGATTATACAATTTTCTCTGCATGATAGGGGAAATGTATGTAAAGTCGGCCTAAGTGTCTCTAATTTGGGCCCATACATAAATTCAGCAATCGACTAAATTTTCAATAGCAACCAAAAATATCCATTAGTACCGTCCCAATGACGCGTTCATTTAGTTACAATTGATAAATAGCAGATTTTTAGCGATGGGCCCATGGACCTATCACCTTAGAATGTGAAAATCTGCTGCAGAACATTTGTTAAATAAATTCTGCAATGCTCTTCAAATTATTAATATTTTTACCAGCGTTACCCGAGCAAAGTTTGAGATCAAATTGAAATCAAATTTTGCTGTTATGATGATTTGATTTTGAATACTCCAGTTGATCTCATTTTGGTTGACTTAACCGTTAAGTAAGCAAAAATGAGAGCATAATTTTACACTGTTTTATTTATTTATTATTATTATAGTCCATCTGACTTGATAGTCTCAATAAAACACTTAAATCTAAATGTAGTCCCTCATTAAAAATTAAAAATTGGCCAACAGCAAACGATGACGAAACCTCGAGGCATTGATGTCAAAGTCAAATAGGTCAGAGGCTTCGTTGAATTGATGAATCATGGCGACAAAGGAACTGTTTGCAGCATAGTTGGTTGCATGTACTACTTCATGTAGCAAGGTTCTCGGACGGAGTGTTCGGGCAGGAGCATACAGATTAATTTTGGCCAGTAACTCAGGAACATCATATTCTGCGAGTAAAACTTTAGCAACGAAGACGACCTGCGATATGTTTCGTCGCTTAGCAAGAGTATCCAAACCCAGTAAACGTGTGTTTACTAGTTCTAAACAGTCGGCATAGCCTCGAACGACTAGATAAGTCTTCAAGTCATCGGCAAAAAACAATTTACCTCCACGTAGTAGAATAAACGTTACATCGTTCACAAATAAAGAGAAGAGCATTGGTCCCAAAGTGCTACCCTGTGGAACTCCTGATCTGTTCGAGAAACAGTACGATGAGTAGTTTCCAATGCATACAGTAACTTCACGTTGCACGAGGTACGATCTAAGCCAGCTGCAGAAGGAAACAGAACATCCAATTTTTTCAAGCTTTGCTAGCAGAACGTCGTGCACAACTCTATCAAACGCAGCTTTAAGATCAGTGTAGATGGCATCCACTTGAAGTTTCTTGCATACATTTTCCATACAGAACGACGTAAAGCTGACGAGATTAGTTTCCACGGAGCGGCCAAGAAAGAAACCATGTTGACATGTACTTATGTAATGCTTGCAGGAAGCAAACAATCTCTCATTTATCAGCGACTCAAACACCTTAGATTCAACCCCAAGCGAGGTAATCCCACGGTAGTTTTCCACATTGCGTTTGTCTCCTTTCTTGAAAACAGGGAACATAGTAGACCGTTTCCATAGTGCGGGAAATTTCTGTTGACGAAGTGACAGGTTGAAGAGCAAGGACAACGGAGCAGCTAAGATATCCGAGGATTTTTTTAGGACTGCAGATGGAATAACACTCGGACCTGGTGAAAATGATGATTTGGTTTTACTCATCACAGAGAGAACCATTTGTACATCTACGGCAAAAACATCCATGTTTACGACGTCGGTTGGCACATCACGGACGGCTCGCTCAATTTCTGCTTGCGATGGGGAGTCATTCGAGAAGACGCTTAAGAAGTGCCTGCATTTGTCCTCAGTTGTCAATGCTACGTCATTGCCGAGAAACATTTTTGACGGCAGTCCAGTTTCCTTCCTCTAAGTATTCACAAACGACCAGAATCCCTTGGGGTGGCATTGCAGATTATGTTGAGTACGAATTACATACCTCTTGTAAAGAAGTTGTAGTGGCGATAATCATTGCTGGCAATTGAAAAATTTCGCTTGGTAAGGGTACATCGTCGATGAGTGAGAGCACGGAGAGCTCTAGATCGCACTCGTTTCAGGTTGCGGAGAGTAGCGTTAGACCAAGACGGTTTTCTTGGAGGTTGGCACTTCGGTACTGAAGCACAAACACAGTCGCGCAAAAGGCTATTATAGCGGGCGGCTGCTGTATCGATATCAAGGTCATTCAACACGTTCCAGTTGATCCGGGACAAGGAACGTCTCAGCAAACGGAAATCGGTCTTCCGGAAATTGAGCCGAGTGGCAGTCATGGTTTCATCAAAACGAATTTGAGATCCGTTCGCAATAGACAGATGAACTTAAATTAACTTTTAAACAAGACGTTAACAGCAGAACTTCAAGTTAAGTTGCTTTAATTTAAAAAGGCTTGACTGCATAATGAAAGCACAATATGATATCAGACTTATGTCTCGACAATTGAAATCAAAATAAGTTTTCATTATGATAGGAACTGCAAACTTTAATATCGATTTGCAGGATGTTGATTTTGTTAACCGACTTTGCTCGGGTACCTACCAATATAAGTCACTTCGAGTTTCCTTTTAGTTCTTCTCACAATTTCGGGTCTTCGGAATTCCCTTGAAACTCTCCTTTAAATTCTCTAAATATTATCACCGATAGGGATAAGAGGGGCATAGTGAACATCCCGTGCACCAGCTTGGACTTCCGGTATTTGGAACAAATTGTTTGGTGGTAGGATCGATCAATATCATAATGATATTGAACCTACTACCAGTTGATTTGTATCATGCAGCTGGAGATCCAGAGCCAAACTGCCAGAGCCCCCCCCCCCTATATTTATGGAATAATTCTCGGAATTATATTGAAAATGTCTTCAAAATTTCGTTGGAGTTATCCTCGGCATTCAATTGCCTTGATTTTCTCCTCAGGATTCTTTTGGAATAATCCTTAGGAATTATTATCAGAATTTGATTTGAATTAATTTCACAATCCCCTTTGAATATTACTCCTATCCTTGGCATTTCACTCACAACTTTAAAATTCTCCTCAGAATCCACTTGCAGTTTCTCTTCACAAATTCCCTTAGATTTCTCCGGATTTTTCCTAAAAAATTGGTTGACATTGAAGCCTCTTGGAATTCAGTTCCGAATTCCTTTTAAATTCTCCTGGAATTATTCTCAGACTGAATAGTTATCCTCATTTAAGCATACCCCCTAAGTTTTCTCCGAAAATTCCCATGGAATTAGGTTTCGGACTCTTCTTGAAATTATGCTCAGAATTCCCTTGGATTTTCCGTTGAATTGCCTCGGAATACTTCTCAGAATTATCATGAAATAATCCTCAGATTTTTCATCAAAGCTCTTTCTGATTTCGTTAGCAATTCACCTAACCAATCAATTTATATTTAAATTTCCTTTGAATCCTATTGAGCGTTTACTTGAAATTCTACACAGAACTACATTGATATTCATCTTAGGTTCAACATGAAATCTGGAGATCAGCAGAACTACCTTGAAAGCAGATTTCACTTGATGTTTTCCCCACAGTTCTTCCCAGAACCGAGCCCAGAACTCCCTTGTTTCTTTGTTCCTTATAAATCCTTCCTTCTTAAAATTTCATGACCAAATTATGGAAGGTGCTTAATCTTAATTTTTTGTTTCAAATCTGCGATCTTGGAAAATGTTCAATGTCCGACATCATAAGTTCTTGCAAAAGAAAAAAAAATCAAGTTAAAATCTATCAACAATATTCCAGTTCTAGAACCTATAAAAAACAATTTAAGCCTCTATTAAAATTGAACTGTTCAATGAGTGAAGTAATGTGGGATGAATTTCTCAAGAAAGAATTTTGATCGAATTCATTCAGGAATTCTGGAAAAAATATCTCAAGGAAATCTTGGGGAATTTATCCACGAATTCTGGAGCAATTCAACCAGGAATTCCGGAGAACTTCCGCAAAGTATTTTAATAAGTAATTACTCCAGGAATTTTGAGAGGACTGCTCTAAGAAATTTTCGGGAATTTCCATAAAGAAATTTTCTTGAGCTAATTGTACAGGAATGTATCAAGGAATTCCTAGTGAATATTAGGGGTATTTCACAAGTCCACCCACAAGAAATTGAAAATGCACTCTTCAAGGTCTCCAGTCTTTATACCAAACCACTTGCGAGCGGAATGAGAAAATTAGTGTTAATTGATTGAAGTTTGAATTAAAGACCTACCAAACGGTTTGAACAGAGATTTTAAAAGTTAACAATATTTAAGATGTTCTTAAGTACAGTGACCTCAACAACTTTCGATAACACGACTCAATTGTTTATCAATCGTTACCAAGTTGTAAAGTGCTGATTGCAAAGCTTCTCTAACAACTTTTCCCTGTTTTTCTTATGACTTTTTGGCATTACCTAGGTATTTGCCATATTTTTTCCTCCGAAACTTACCTAAGTCAAAAAGCAGCATACGTCATATTTCGACATTCACACACTGAAAGAGCGATGCCACCGACCGACCGCACCGAAGAAGAGAAGAGGTGGATTTTTTAATGAAGAGAAACTCTTGGCTCTGCTCCTCTATGTACTCTTCACACGTATTATAAGCTGCTGCTGATCGTTGGTTGTTGTTGCTGCTGTTTCTTCGCTTATTGCTGCTGCTGATGATGATTTCGGTACGGGGTTGCGTTTGTTATTTTTTCGATTACACTATTTTTTCCTGGCGATGATTTTTCAACTGCTCCACCACAGCTGATGTGGAGGGTCGTTCGCTATCGATGGAAAAGCACAATATTTCGATGACGAAAAAAATGATCCAACTCTAGACGCACCACAGAAAACCAGACAGTGATGATGGATTATGAAAAGAAAAAGCAAGCAAAGCACTCCCACCTTCTTCGATTGCACACTATCCAGACACTTCCTGACTTTTATTCCCGAATCACACTATATTCCCGTCCACAATGGGAGAACACCACACCATTCGCAATAACCTGCACTGCACTTGCTTATCACTGGAACCAATGGCAATTTTTGTTTTCCCCTTTTTTCTCGCTTTTGCCCACCCCAAGTCGGTGGTAATGCACTTTACTTACAGCCTTTTCTATTATGCACTTTTTTTCCTCTACCGCTCTCCTCTTTCTGCGGCGGCCTACAAAAAGCCTGGCGAAACTTTCCTCGTCGCTCGCGACACGCAATCCTCCCACTTTCGGGCTTGTTCGGACACTTTTCTTTTTCCTGCACCTGAGCGAAAGATACCACCTAATCCCGATTCGTCACCCGATCCGCGCGGAATCAATCGAATTTTTCACCAGCGAGACTCGCCCAAAAGAGTGGCCACTCAGTGCCAGTCAGGAAGCTTGAATGAAAATTTTCACTCCCTCGATTTACAACGACGACGGCGACGACGATTGCTGATGACTGACTGTGTGAACTACACTCTTGTACACTTCTGCTTCTGCTGGCACTTTTACAATCCAATCCTCTGCAAACCAAACTCCACTCTTTTCTTCGCTGGATGGTTGGGTTGAGGGAGAAAAAACAAGACACGACGACGACGTCGCGCAAGCAGAGTTAAAAAATGCACACTCACACCATCAGCAGGAAAACGACGCAAACGATATCGAACAGACAGCTCTGTCAAAAAATGAAGGCGCTACGCTTCGCGATTGGCGATAAGTTTTGCCAATGAGGTTTTTTTACAGTGGATACTCGGTAATCTGACACGAAAGTGGTTGTGGTTGGGTGCCCGGATAAAAATAATCATAAAAATTCCAATTAGGTTTTGCAGCGTCGGGGTTAACCTCAATCTGATGACAGTTCAGTGGTACTGTTTACGTGGACTTAGTCAATTTTTTCTTGGGTAGATTTTCTCGATAGTTTTTCAGACTGCAATGAGATGTAAACCACATGTCTGCATTCCCTAATAAATAAATACCATAAACGAACTTTATACCGGATGGGTAAACTATCCCACAAATTGTTTGGATGATACCCCGAACACGTCCTTAAGCTCTCTTTTATGGTTATTTTTATTAGGGTTGTCCACGAGCAACATCCCTTCACCGCGCTGTTCCTCGACAATTTTTTCGAAAAAAAACGACTAAATGCTTGTTAACAGTACCACTGAACTGTCAAAAAGGTTCAGCCGATTAACAATGAGTTCATTTATGACGTCACACTGCAGTACCTAATAGGCGACTCCTCGGGCGACTCCAATATAAACTACCTAAAGGTCCTTGTAGACTATCTGATTTCGACCGCTGCCATGAAGAAAAATCAGCTCGATTTTACTTTCGACACACTTTGTCGAGCCCCCCTGTTTGCTGGTGTTCACACTGCTTGCACATGTCTAGAGGACTGTCAATTTAGATTTCAAAACAAAACTGTATCAGGAATCGAAAGTAAATACTTCCATAATGAATTACCGCAAAATTTCTCTAGCTTCGGCAGGCGTATTTGATCTTATTATTTTAAATAAAATGAGAAGGATAAGGTGAACTTAATGAGTAGGAAATGGTTGCTCAGAGAACACTGGCAGGAATCTGGCTCATCTTGTCCTTCAAGAACTGTGATATGAAGACGAAAAAGGATTTCGATACCAACTTTCGACAAGCTAGTGGGAAAAGTTCTCTATAGATCTACATGATTCCTTGGGTTCTATAACATTCCCCAGAAAACCATTCCCCCGAAAACCATTCCCCAGAATGCACCATTCCCCAGAAAAGCATTCCCCAGAATGAACCATTCCCCAGAAAACCATTCCCCAGAATGTACCATTCCCCAGAATGTACCATTCCCCAGAATGTACCATTCCCGAGAAAAGTATGCCATGTATAAGATTGACTATTTTTGTTTAATATAGTCACTCCTGGCATCTTCTTTCGCGTATATAAAAAGAAGAGAAAAACTTCTAAATGGATCAAGGGCTTTTCCCTTCTTTGAAAATATAACAAAAGGAAATAATTAATTTTTTGGATATACGATAAAGAAGGGACTATTCCCTTCTTTTAATACATAAAAGAGAACATAATTAATTCGTTAAATATATGATAAAAAAGGGAATATTTTCTTTCTTTGAAAATATAACGAAAGGACATAAATAATTCTTTGGATATATGTTAAAGAAGGGAATATTCCCTTCTCCTAATATATAAGGAAAATATATAATCAATAGTTTTTCGCAAGGGATTCGGGGTAATGCCCATTCGGGATAATAACGTGTGGAATAATGTTATAAATTTGTAATCGGTAGTTCAACGTTCCATGCACCGATTTTTTAATCCATCACGAGAAATTCTTCAACTCAGGTCGAACAATTCTTCGATAAGGTTTAACAGTTTCCGACTGGTTGAATTGGATTGCATAATAGACCGTTTGACTTTTTAAATAATGAACGAAGTGCTCAAAAACTTGAAGGTTGTGATTTTCTAAAGAGCTATAAAATGATTTGGAATTGATGAATACATAGTTCCATAAAAATAAACATAGTGTATTATCAATACTAAAAAAAGAAAAGTGAAAATTACTAATTTCATCATCTTTTCTGGGGAATGGTACATTCTGGGGAATGTTTTTCTGGGGAATGGTGCATTCTGGGGAATGGAATTCTGAGAAATGGTTTTCTGGGGAATGTTTTAGAACCGATTCCTTGCGTTATGAAAGTATCTGTTAAGGGTCACCCACATTAGATCCGTTTGCGTTGCGTTGACGTAAATTTGACAGTTAGACAATAGATTTAGCTGTCACTTTGCCGCAACGCGTCTGATCCAGATGTAATGTGCGTGGGCCTTTAAAAACTCAATTCTGGATATTTCTCTAAAAATCTTTGGACGTCCTTGAAGTTCTGTTTCTATTCTCTGGTAAAATATCTTTGAAGATCAACAAACTTTCCTGAAGATCTGAAAATCTCTCGGTAGCTCTGCAGATTTCTTTGAAGTTCTGTGTGTTTTTCAGAAGTTATGCAAATTTCTCTAAAAATTTACAAAGCTCCTGAATCCCTGCAGATTTAGGATCCTTAAATATCAAAAATTATCTCTGATGTTGACTAAATTTCTAATAATCTGCGAATTTCTTGAAAGTTCTGTAATTTTCTCTATAGATTTTCATGATTCAATAAATATCTGCAAACAACACAATTCTTCAAAGTATTAAAAAATTATCTAAAATTTTTTAAGCATCCCGGAAGTTTGAGGAAATTCTCTGAAGATATATTTTTTTATTCTGAAGTTATGCAAATATCTCTATAGATCAGCGAACTTCCCTGAAGTTCTGTAAAATTCTCTTTAAATCCAAAAACCTCAATATGTATTTAAACATCTGCAGATTTTTCAGTAGATTTACGATCTGCCTTCTGAACTTTTCTGAAGTTTCTAAAATTTCTTTAAAATTCTGTAAAGTTTTCTGAAGTACTGTACTTCTGGTCTGAAATTTTTTTATTGGTTCTTGGACTTCCCGTAAAGTTCTGCAGATTTTTCTGAAATTCTTTGAAATTCCTCAAAGCGCTACAAATTATCTGAAAATATTTGAACTTAACTTTCGCTTAAGTCTTAAAAATGTCTCTGAAGATTTCCGAATTTCTCTGAAGTTGTGTATATACTTCTAAAGATCGGCGAACTTTCCAGAAGTTCTGTGAGTTTTGCTTGGTGCACAGGTAGATTGAGATTAAGGAAACGCCACTGCTCTTGAGGTCTACGGACTTCTCTGAAGTTCTTCAGATCTATCTATTTCCAATTTCCATGAAGTTCTGCATAATCTTTTCTAAAAATTTTACGATTTTTTTTTTAAACTGTGAAGCTTTCTGAACCACTGAATTTCTCTGAAGATCTGCAAAGCTCCTTGCAGTTCTACAGATTTTGTCTTAATATCTATTCTTTTGAAGTTCTGTAAAGTTGTCTGAAGCTCCGTAGCTCTACCATAGAGGTAACTAAAAAAGAGTACCTAGTTTTCAGTATGCATTATGTTTTGTTGAACAGACATCAAACGAAATTTCAAAATTGCTGATCCCACCAGTAAGTGAACTTGCTTTCGTCATCCTTCTCCGTTTCACCTCGCGCACTTCACCTCGGAAATCTCTGTGTGCTAATAGAAAACCCTCGAAAAATGCTTTGTGAAAATCAAGGTGAAAATAAGTGAAACATCTGGAAGACAATGCAGGAGTGCTGAAACTGCCACGGAATTGGGCAGTTTACGCACTCCTGCATCGACTTCTAGATATTTCACTGGTTTTTAAGCAAAAACATTCACTTACATTGCCTGTTGTAGAGCTTCAGACATCCCCACAACAAGAGAGCCACCAATCGGCCGAACCAGAGAGTGATAAACATGTTAACTTCGTCCCTAAATAAAAATCGTAAAAAATTTGAATCAATTTAATCCTACCTTAGATCCTACCCGTCGTAACAAAAACAAATCTTGCAAACTACATACTTTAAGCTATATCTAGATAGAGCTGGAATAAGGGCCAAACAGCTTTTGTAAACAATGACTTCTCTTGATGATTTCTAGAAATCAAGGCTCGCCCACGCAAACCAACATCCTCATCAGGCAGGAAAAAACTTCCCCTTCTCAATGGTTAGGGTGGTCTGCCCTATATACTCAAATTTTAGCTTATCGTATACGCGCACGGGGGTGAAACAAACTTAATTTTAGGTTTCTTTTGATTTCCGTGAGTACCTTGCGGACACCGTTATTGACCGATGAGGCAGAAATCCCCCATTATCGTAACGCCTTCAGACGTTACTTTGATGCGGGGGCGAGCACCGTTGAGCGCGGGCTGTGTGCGTGCAAATCTGTCACTTTCCAAACAAAATCTCGGAAGCTGCGCGCTCGCATTTTTGTTCCAGCATTTTACTGTGCGGAAATCGACTCGACTCGAGAACGCGATATTTACGGAAAAGTTGTGGCATTTTGCTGTCGTTCCCTTCTACATATTGCATCTAAAGTTTGAAAAACATGTCTGACGGACAGGAAAATGTTCCCGAAGGCTGGGAGAAGCGCACCAGCCGGTCTACAGGTAAGCGAGGAACGCATTCGGTCGGCAGATGCAACCATCCAACAACCCACGAGAATGTTATAAACAAAAGGAACCGTGATACTAAAGTTAGAATTCAATCCGCAGGAATGACCTACTATCTGAACATCTACACCAAAGAATCACAGTGGGATCTTCCGACCAAGCCGGCAAGTCCAGAGGTACTTCAGCTTTGTCCTTGTCCAGTAGAAAATGGAATGTAGACGGTGGTATTGTTTTTCCCTTTTCACAGCAGGACACAGCCGAGGTGCAGTGCGCTCATCTGTTGGTCAAACACAAGGGCTCGCGGCGACCCAGTTCCTGGCGGGAGGACAACATAACACGCAGCAAGAGCGAAGCGCTGGAAATTCTCGAAGGCTACCGGAAGAAAATTCAATCCGGTGATGCCACCCTGCCGGCACTGGCCCAACAGTATTCGGACTGTAGCTCGGCCAAGCGGGGCGGCGATCTGGGCATGTTCAAGCGAGGTATGATGCAGAAACCGTTCGAGGAGGCAGCGTTTGCGTTGAAGGTCGGCGAAATGTCCGACGTTGTGGATACCGATTCCGGGGTGCATTTGATTTTGAGACTCAAGTAAAGTAGATCGAAAAGAAAGCGGTGGCGGGAGGATAAGAGGCGTAAGGGATTTGAGATTGAATTATGGAATAAAGTAAAACAAAAACATCAATGGGATTTGTGTAGGATCTAATTGATATTAGAAGAACAGTTCAACTCGGATATATTTCGCATCGACTTAACACCTAGAGAAAGCCTTGGATTGGGTTGGCTTATATTATTACAGTTTCAGTTTTTCCACCAACAGTTTGGCCCCCGTGTGGGTCTGCTTCTTCAGATCCGGCTTGGCTGATTTCAGTTTCTGTTTGAGCTGCTTCTGAACCGGGTCGGACGAGTTCTCGAATATCAGCAACAGCAGGAAGCAGGGCCGGTTCTGCACGATCCAGGATTTGATCTGAAAAGGAATTTGTCGATCGATTAGAGGACGGGTTTAGTTGAACAGCGTCGGAAAAAAAAGACGCTCACCACTTCTTCGGTAAGGTTATCCAACACTGCACTGCCGAACTGGGAAGAACTGGCGTCCTCTTGGCGTTTTTCCTGATCCAGCTTGATGATCTTCTTCAAGGCAATGTGTACTCCGGCGTGTTCAATACCGTTGATGAGCGGGTTGGCAGCGAGTTGCTTTTCGCGGGCTTTTTCCTGGAATGGAAGTTTGAGATTAGGGTTTTTTGGTTTGTTTTAACGTTAGTAATATAAGAGATCTAAGCGATTGGGAGGCGGATTTTGGGTCACTAGAAAACATTTGTACGGATCAAGTTAGAGCATTCAAACGTTGGTTGATTACAGTACCGATTCGTTCTGAAATAACTAAAGATGATCATCAATAGCTTTGCTATAAGACCTTAACATTCAATCTCATTAAATAAAAGATAGTTAATATATTCAGCGCCACCTGGGACTTACTCTGGAACTAGCTAGCAGAGATGGGAAAGTTCACAAACACTCACTTCCCCCTATTCTGCGAGTCGTGTGACTAAGGTTGATTTTTTTGGAGTATTCTGCAGAGTATTTCTGAACTGTAACAAAGGAATGTTCAAGAAACTCTAAAGGATATGCTTGTGAACATTCCAATGAATTCCTGTAACGAATTTTGAGCGAATTTGTAAGGTAGTTAAAACGTCTATCGCTCTGACGGCTGTCAGATGTTGAGCCACTGAGGCTGAGTGCTGACTAAGGTTAGGGTGGTCCTTCCAACACCTCCCCCTTCTGGTAGTGAGTATATGGGTAATACGTCATGATAGCTTTCCGGTTTCGCGAGGAATGGCGAGGCGCACTCGGTTGTCGCTGCTGAGAGAGTTGCTGTTTACCGACCCGCTATTGTGATGCTTCTTGCGGAGGCCCATTTGGATACGGATCGCTAACTTCTGAAGAACTTACTTTGGTTTAGGCTCCGCGAGTCTAGTAGAATGTCAAGTGAGGCACGGTGTGCCTGCGACCGATGACCGTGACGCAGGACTATGTCTTTGTGGACTGTACTGGGGGGCGCAAATCAAAAAACTTTGTGACGAAATAGTGTCAGGTTTTGAACGCTTGCATCTCGGCCATTTATTGATGCATTTCAATTATTTTTACACAATTTGATTCAGATTTGATGTAAGATTTGGTATAAAGATAATAGTAATTTATCATTAGTAAACTATTGGAATATTGGAAATTTATCAAACTGGCAGCAATCAACCAATTACTTGCTTGCTTGCTATGCCTATCGGGAGAACATAGAGAGACGAACGAGCTGATTGCGAGGTTATAAAAGAGCCTGTACCTATGTATGGTTGCTACATCAGTTCTGTTCCCGTACTTGCTATTCTGTAAGATTCTGTATAAAGCAAAAGCATTTTTTCTCTGCTGAGATCCCTCTAGTCGGAGCAGCTAGAGTGTGTTTTGTGGTTGATGGGGGTTTCCGCTGCTGTGTGAGGAATGAAAGGTGAGAGTTCTGTTTTTATCACCGGTTAAAGAAGTAGCGGCAGCATATCTATGGGAGCTCTTCGAAATCATCGTGATGGTCATGGATTCCTTTACAACATCGGGTGAGATCTTTCCTTTATTTTCTTTTAACTTTCATTCCATTATTATATGAAACATTAAATGAGGGTACGGGAGGATCCACCAGGGTTCCCGATTGAAGCGAAATTGATGAGGAGAGTGGAAATGCCAACTCCCTGTCTTTAACATTTCGTGAATAGAAGTCGAGCTATTGTACCCATTCTCCTGTTGAATGGTCTGTTTTTTGAACGGTTGTACGATCCTGTCGTTGGAAGGAGATTCTCATTTATACCGTGGACGCACATGGAAGATGTTGCCCACAGATTCACCCAACCGGTTTTTGGCCCTCCATACAAAGGCAAGTTGAGTACAATTAAAGGTTATTAAACTTGATCAAGTCGAACAGCGAGGGGAAAGTCCACAGTCTAACGACAGTTGTCTTGCTACAGTGAGTGGTAGTTCCATATCATATCATATATCAAATTGTAACCAAACTCGGTCGCTGTCCCATACAAAACTCCAACATGTCTCACATTAGAACACCTATATGTAGTCACCTTGGTGCAGATGCCTATCCATGAGTGCCAAACAGTATCGATGAGTGTGCCCAGGTGTGCCGAACTATGTTTTTGACACACTGTGCGGAGTGACCAACCCCTTGGGTTCAGTACACTTAGAGGTTATTAAACTTGATGAAATCGAACAGCGTGTGTACTGACTGACAGTTGTCTAGCTACAATGAGTGGTAGTTCCATAGAGGTACATAACTCTAAGACCAGAAGGTCCCGAAGAAACGAGCTCAACTTTTTGGCTCAGCTGGTACTATCTTCGGTCCCAAGCTAATCGATGCACCCCTCGAAACATTTGAAAATCCACGAACCCTTCATTTTATCTGTCAAACTTATATAGTGAATCAAAACAAACATAGTGTAGTACTGGAATTTATACTAGAATGGAGTACGTTAATCGATTTGCTTGGGACCAATAGGCTAGTCAAATAATGAGCCAATTTGAAATCGTTAGTTTCGAATTGATTGTTGGTAGTTCCATATCATATCAAAATCGAATGCGACTGAGCCGAAGAGATCGCTAGGTTAAATGGGTCCTTATTAATACAGCAGCATTTTTCCTAGATATTGGATTTGGTTTTGCGTTCGAAATCTTCAAAATTTGTCTATGAAAATTTGCTCCAAATTTTAGAGGATTTAATTAATTGTTCGCAAGCACTTCATTTCAAATCAATTCCCTTCACAGAGTTCTTTTCAGAATTCTCTGTAGATCACTCAAACAAATTATGAAATTCGTCCTTAGATTCTCTTAAAATTTTAAGCATTTCTAAGAATTCCTTTATTTTTTGCTTAATTCGCTTGAATTCTCCATAGAATGCCCATGTAATTCACCTCAGAATAGTCTTAAAATGTTGTTCAGAATTAACTTAAAGTTTTTCTCTAAAATCCACTGAAAATTCACTTGAAATTCTCCTTAAAAGTATCTAGGAATTATTTTCGAGATGCCTTTGAAAGTATTCTCAGAATTTTCTTAAAACTCTCCGCAACTTCTTCATCTCACATGAGATAGATGTGGCTGTGATCGCTGAGACTTGACTACAACAGTGCATCTCATTCTTTGTTGATGGATTTCCATGTGTGATTTCCGTCGAAGCAAAGGGCGTTCATGTGCAGTGGCAGCGTATTTCCCCGGGGATCGCAATAAAGCAGATCTGACGAACTTTAAACGAGACTTCATGGCACTAGCAAGGCAGAGGGAGGCGTATTTCATCGTTGGTGATTTCAACGCCCGTCACAGGCAGTGGAACTGCTTGGAAGCAAATCAGGCTGGTAACATTCTGATGAATCTGTTTCGCTCTTCGGGGTTCTATATTCATGCTCCAGAAACTCCAACGTTTGTGCCGCATGGGACTGCGCGATCATCTACACTTGATCTAGTGCTGTCCAACAATCTGGTCAACATGTCTATTACCGTGGCTTACGTGGAACTCTCCTCCGACCACCTACCTGTAACCTTGACATTCATTCCTGTACCACCCTCTACAAAACGCTTTCGCTGTTGCGGCAAAGTGACAGCTAAATCTTTTGTCTAACTGTCAAATGTACGTCAACGCAACGCAAACGGATCTAATGTGGGTGGCCTTTTACGATCGGACAAACTGGGTTGCTTATTCGCCTCCGCAACATAAGACGACGACAGTACATTCGATCACGCGACCCCTATCTCATATAATCGCTATATTCATAGTCTGGCGGATAGAATTTCGATCTATCAAAAAGCGGAACCATTTCAATAAATTGTAGACCAACAATTAAAAAGGTACTATCAACTTTTATAAACAATACGTTGATTATTCTTTCCTCACCAATCGACGGTAAATAAGCAGCATCATCGGATAGGGGAAATTTTCCTCAACCTAAAGATGGCGTTAGTTTGTGTAGGTGTTCCTTTAGTCACGAGAAAACGGTTTCCAAAATTTTGTTCGTAATAGCTGATGTGCTCTTTTCTGTTGTTGGTCGTGATTTGCTCGATTGGTTCCGCTATTTGACAGCTCAATTGGTTCCCGAGATTCTATCCGCCAGACTATGAATATAGCGACTATACCATTTTCACGTCATTGTTGATTCTCGGTATCGTAGAATACAGACAGAATGTACTACACTCTAAAAATCTTCACGTGCGATTTACGTGAAATATCACGTACCTGATCTGTATTTAGGAAATCTCAAATGTTACGTGACGTTAGTAACTTTGAACTGCATAACACGTCATGTCCACTAAAAATGTTGGTGAAATTGACCGTATATTCACGTAAACAGATTTAGTGTATTTGTGTTTGTGTGTTTGGGACTTCGATATTTCCGTGAAACGAGATTTGCGTGATTTTCAGGTACGCAAAAAAATCAATATGGCGTCACCGAGCGTTGTGGAAGAACTCCTCAAAGATTCAAAATTCCTCAGTGCTTAATTGCAAATGTTGGACGGTAATTAGGTTCATTGATATTAATTTATTTATGATTATATGTAACGTTTTTTCTAGTTTTATAATTTCAGACGGTGACATCAGCATTTTGAGTCTGCAACAAGTGTTAATATTTTGTCAGAAATAAAAAAAAAACTCATACACGTTTCTACCTTATAATAATCAATTAGTCAATATGTTCCAATTTTATCTTCCCGAAAAAAATACATAATATTGACTGGTTCTATATATACTTCCGATTATTCTCATTGAAAATTCACATATAAATGACATAAAAAGCATTTTAAACCAAACGGAATGTCACGTAAAAGTTACCAGATGTCCAGTAGTTTTCACCCCCATTTCACGTAAGCAGTATGTGGAAATCAGGTCTTATTTACCTGACTAATCACGTAGATAATTGAAGCTGAATTTTGATCGGCTACGTGCAATTCCGGTAAAAGTTCCGTGAAAAATAGGGTGGACGAAAACCACCTATGTTTTCACGTCAATCGGACGTGAAGATTTTTCAGAGTGTAGCTTTCGTTTTAAAAACTTTGGCGAAACGGTACAGGATCTTACAAGTTCTGGAAAATTTCCAAGCTTGTTCGTAATAGGATCAAATACAATCCACCATTCAAGATCGAAGGGTCACTAGTCGATAGTTGGCTGCACTGCCGACCGA